TAAAAGTTGAATTATATATAATACCAACAATATGTACGAAATATATATAAAATATATATAAATATTTATAAATATATATAATATATATAAATATATTTATATAAATATCTTGTATGTGTCATTATCTATAATTAATTTGGTATATAACAGTATATAAAATTTTAATTGTACTATTAAAATTAATTCTTTATATTTTGCTACTGTTCCTTTTTTAATAGAGGTGTTCATGCTCTTTCTTTGGTAAACCTAGGGCAGTGGTAAAAAAAAATTACAATTCCTGACCTTCAACAAAAAACTACACGGCAGTATTTCTAATTATTCTCTTTTCATAGAACAATGACTATTTGCAAGAATCCGTATATTTTTTTCTGAAATCATATATACGATTATTTGCTAAGTAATTAATCTTAAAAATGGCACAAGTCTTTTTGGACTGCTTAGGTATGGTAAATTATTCTTATAAATTTAATTAATACTTTCGATAATCTTATAAAATTTTGCTTTAACTATTCAACTAAAAGAGAAAGGATATATTACACACATTTATATTTAAAATTCGTTATAAACTACTATTACTATTGATTACTAATCAACAGTAACAGTAGTTTATAACAAATTATAAAAATTAAATTTCAAACAATTTAGAATTAAATAAAAAATTAAGATTTAAAAATTACGAGTTAATTAAGAATTAAAGAAAATTAAGAATTAACGATGATTTACATGATAATACAATCTGCACACCATTATCTATATATATTGGTTGTATTATATTACCCATACATATTGGTCCATGACCTCCCTTCTGACGTCTCTAGTCCAGATACCCCTCCCAATAGACCTTGTTCTAGCTTTACGCCTTAAACCTTCTCAATACCTATCCCATTAATTCGACGAGTTGGACAATAATCCTCTCTCTATTCCCCTTTACAATCGTGGCTTTCGTGACCTCAGTCACAAAGTTTATCACTGACCCCACCCCCGCTATTTAGTCGTAACCCCACTCTCTTCATTATTACCCTTTTCCTGATTACTGGAATGAAGTTTACACATTGCTGTGGGAATCTTCTCCATTCATTCTAAAGAGGTGGGTTCAAGTCTCACACTGTTGCTTTCGATGCTTTCCACCTACCAAAAAAAAACCCCGTATGCATTACCAATATATATAACCCATTTATATTACCCATATATTTTGTATATATTGCCCATATATATTACACATATATATTACCCTTATATATTGGTTATATTACCTGTGTATATTACTAATACATATTGGCAATATTATTTATAGCAGCAATACGTAGATTACAATAATTAATAATTTACAATAATTAAGTTAATTTATATATTGCAACTGTGGATTATGCATTAATTTAAATTAATAACACAACAAGAAAGTGTAAGCTTTGTTTATGAATATGTATTAGAAATTATTAAAACTGTAAATTTATAATATATTAATTGAATTAAATGTATGTGGAGTTTGCGTGTTAACATACAAGATCATGATTTAATTCCTGGCAGTTATAGTCCAATAATGATATAACGGATATTTAAACCAATTAAACCAAGGTTTATAAAGACCTCTGTTGATGTATATTTAACGGTATCCTAAACAGTTATATGGTTATTCAAAAAATTTACTTATTTAAAAATTGACTCCAGTTTTTAGAATAAGCCAATTTTTAAAAATTTGTTTATAAAATGAAATCAACAAGTGCCATTTCAGTCAAGTTGTTATAAAGACTTCGATTTTTTAAAAAATATATCCAAGTTTTTCTCAAAAACCTACGAATGTGTATCCGTTAGTTTTATAGTACTTTTATGTTAAAATAGAGACTGTCTTAATAAATCATTAAGGAAAACGAATATTTTCTTCTTAGAAACATTTTAGCCGGTCTCTCACAAGAAACATTCTGGGGTTATTACTCTACCTAAAATTGGGTAGAAAACTTGAACCAATCACATGAGGTTTGGCAAGCGTTGCATGTACCATAGATGAATCAAAAGTTGAGAACAGCATTAATGGGAAATCTTCTTTCCAAAACGTGTATCCAACAGTATTTTAAGCAAAATTTTTTGCCATCAAAATCTGTGCTTGCATTGCTTGAGAAGAATGAGAAAAAGACTGGTCTAACAAGCCTTAAGTTCTTTAAAAAAATTATTGAGGTATATTGGTAAATAGCATTACTGTTCTCATATCACTAGGACAAAACTACCGCGTTATCTTGTTGTGGGTACCGAGATATAAGAGAAGCAAAGAAAATGGAAGGTTTCATTAAACGAGAACCCCAACATTTAGAGGACCTGAACCATTCTGCACTCTGACAAAAAAGCGTTATCTGGACAATCTCTGAATTGACAGGACTAGTTATTGAATAAACTGTAGCATACACATAAAAGCTAATAGATTCACCTGCTTATCTAAAGTAATTTCGAATTGACTCCTTACACTGAACAGAAATGGTATCAAAGTTTTCATTTGGTACTGATTAGCCATGATAGGCTAAGGACTTTCAATATCTGCCATTTTTATGAATTCGAGTTTTATACCTCTGAATATATTCTCTATGAAATTTCTAAAATGATTGCTGCTCATTTGTATATCTATGGGACTGACTGTTTACAACATGTGGAATATAACATAGAAAACTTCAAAAGCGTCAAAGATGGTCAAGTTAATTAAATGATCGGTTTAAACAATTAGGGTGAGCACAATAGACCATCAGATTTTTGGTCTATTTTGCTAACTATTGTACAACAATTGATGTATAGTAAAGTATTGCTATCGGCACCTACATTACGCATGCTGACAGAAATGCTAATTTTATTGTAAACAATTTACAACTCCATATTAAAATGTTGATCAGTAATTTCTGAAGGTAGGGAATTACAGTTGATGTTGAAAAAACGAAAGTTATGTTAATTATAAGGTATAGAAATCAAAACCCAAAGAAAATAAAAGTCAATAATGAGAAAGTAGAATAAGAGGACAATGCTAAGTACTTAAGTCTGACTTTTGACAGAAGATACACTTGGTTAGATAATATAAGGGTCATTTTATATATAATGACTTGTAATATATCTATGAATGCTCTAAAACCACTACCACGAAGAAAGTTAATTGTGAAAAATAAGACTATATTTTATAAACAAGTAATTGGATTACTTCGTGGCTGTGTTACTTATAGCAAAGTTGCTCTATCCGCCATTAGAAAACTTCAAACTTATTAAAATATTGTACTGAATTGTATGCTTTTACTGAGACCATGGAGTTTTTACTCCATGATAGATCAGAAATGCAGATATACACAAAGACTTGAGAGTCGTGTATATCAAGAAGTAAGTGTAAAACTATATCAAAGTCAGAGCGCTGAAATTGTTCGATCTTGTGGATGCGACACAAATTCAGAATTGCACTCTCTGAACTCAAATGTAATATATATTCTGTCAGGAAGAAACTCTTCTGTAGATTTGAATAACTAATTACCATTATCAGAACTTGATTAATAAAAATAATAGCTTAAAACAATATTGTATTAAACAGAAAATAATTAAATATAATCCATGTCAAATATTTTTTTCAATTTCTTTCCCTTGTAAATTTCTATCGGGTTTGTAACAATGTATTTTCATTAATTTACATTTTGATTGTTTAATAAAATTAAACATGATTTTTTTTAAATCTTAGAACAACTATTGAAAGCAGTAAACACAAATTGCTCTCCTGTCTCTATTAAAGTTGGCCCTTTCCATTACAACTCTTCCATAATAATCAAAATAAAGTTAAAGAATCGCAGATTGTGAGGATGCATCACTATTTTATGTAGTGTGGCAGGTCAGTGTCTTTCGCAACCCTAAAAATGCGTAAAAATTATCGCAAGCATTCTCTAATGTTGAAGGATACTTTCTTCTCCGTTGTCCTTAGCGGATGAATGACGCATGTTGTAAAAACGTTGCTCCTTTTGTGCGCTTTTATTGCTGGCGTCATTAAAGCACCAAAATATCCGAGGGGAAAACTTTGGCTGTGATTTTCAGAAATTCTTCTAATTTTTACAGTTTTATGCTTACAATAATTTGTGCTGTAAATTTTTGTAAGCACAAAAATTCTACTTCAATTCTTTCCTCTTTTGTTTTTATTCGAAAAAGTTCAAGAAAGTTTCCAACAAATGTTTGCATTTGTAATATGAAAATATGAGTGAAAATGGTAGGGAAAGTTGCCAGCGAGTTTGAGAAAAAAATATTTCTTATTGCAATTTAAAGCTTAAAGTATTTAAAATTTCTTTGTTTAAGTTTTTATAAATCACAAAAAAAATAAAAAAATTTTAATTAATTGTAAAATACACAATGAGTAAAAATATTTCAAATATTTGCACTTCTTTGATTCCTAAGTTTAGCGTAAGTTAATAGAATGTGGCAACTACCCACAGTCATAATTTTATTAATAATTTATTTAGCTTAACAAACTTTGTTCAATAATTTTTAAGCAGAAATTTAATCAAGAAATTCCAAATTGAAATTACTGCCACAGGAAGATGCATTGACATGCACCATTTCTGCTTGTTATCCTGCGAACAAGGAGCACAAAGCTCAGAAAATATTACTATTCTGTCGAACAAGACATTAAATTATGCACAGATGAGTTAGCATATTTCAAATAAAAATTGATTGGAAAATCTACGGATGCACTCATTTGGCCATTGATAAAAGGGAACAATCCCAAAGGCAATGATGGTTCAGTGTCTTCCTGCAGACGTTATGTTGTCACCAAAACAATTTACACAAATAACGAAGTTTGCTCATAAATACAAACATCCAAAGAACAAACTACTTGCAACTGAAATGAGCCATAAAGTCATTTAGTAGAGCACTCCACCCACCTGCGGTGCTACTTCTCCAGTTTTGGTTTATTTTATTTTGCAATTCTTTCTTCCTCTTTACTTTTTATAAGTTCACTACTTCAGCATTGACAGCAATACCAACGGTTGGGAACCTACCTTAATATTTCACTCCACGCAGGATGAGCACCATTTCTACCAGGACGTGATGCATGTACTCGACAGGGTTCTTCCAGTATGCATGCCTTTGGACCGAATTCTTTCAAGATTTCCTTTTGAGCCAAATCAGCATCGTAAGCGAGCATTGCAGCGTCACGTTTGCTACGAGAACGATAAGTATCTGTAATGAGTGCAAATAGAGATACATTTATAAGGAGAGCAGTACAATGAAACAAATAATTGAAAGTTATTAAAATAGTTCGTAAAAAAGTTATTGTTTTTGTTTTACTATTGTGTTTCTTTAATTGTTTATGTTAAGTGAAACTTTATTATTTCTTTAGAAAAATTTGTATTGTGAATTTTTTTATTTAGTTGGTGAATTAGTTTTATGCACTTTAACTTGTGAAGTATATACATATGACTGAACTTTAATGAAAAAAAAAAATTTATATTATTTATACAATTAGAAATTCTGTTTAAATTTAATGATGATGAATCATCATGATTAAAATATTACTCAATGTATAGTTTAGATTTTTGAAGTCTATTATTATAAAATAAAGTATTGTTTTATTATATATTACTATTCAAATATCTCTCTTTTTAAAATTTACTTTGTTAAAAGCTTCAGATTCGTAAAGAAGTATGGTAATGTTATCTATGATGGCTAAGCCAAGATGCAATTTTAAACAATATTTTTGTTCCTTTTTCCTAAACTAATTTTCTTATTGATAATAATGATAATAATTAATTAAACTAAATTTGTTTTTTTAAATGATTTTTAAATTTTGAAATTGCTGAACGTAGTACAAAAACTATATATTGCACACAATGGTTACTAAATTAGTGAATGCTTATATCACCCATTTTTTGCAATAATCAAAGAAAAAATTTGCCTTTTAAAGATGATATGTAAATTAAATGTCAAAGTTGTGAATTATTTAGACTCTCTAGGTCCTGAGTAAAAAGATCCTATGAGTAACCCCACAACAAAAAAAACTAGTGATAGCAAATTGCAAAATATTAATCGAGAATTTATGTCTTATGTTAACATAAGACATGTTATTGAAGCTACATATCTCTCACATCCTTCAACTTTTCACTTCAAAAATTTGGTCAACACAAAAATATAATTGAGAGTTCATATTCCATCATCATTTTCTCTAGAGTCTGAGCGTATCACAACTCCAGACTCTATGCCACATCATACACTGAATTTTTATGAATGCCATGTTATTGAACAGTTATTTATGGGTTTTCAATGATCTAGATGTCAAAGACATAGTCATCCATCAAAAACTGGGTCTCATTACTGACGTAAATTTTATACAAAAAATTTCAATTACTGTTATAGTAAGGTTTCTGTATTTTAATGGTTACTAATCGGCCGATATTAAAAAATGGAAAGGTGTGAACTAAAAATAAGATGTCTTGGACTCACATGTCATGGACTCATATTAATATTATGGAATGGATAACGTTTTAACAGCAGTAGTTTTTAGTTTGACAAACACTGTTGAGTTCCATTTTTATATATTATCTTGAACTCGCTCTTCGGTTTGGTTTTATCTCATATGTGTTATTCTTCAAACATCTTTTGAGCTTGGGAAGGGTAGAAAATAACCGAATGGCTAGGCAAAAACAAATTGGGGAGAGGGAAGTTTATGACATAATATGGAAACTGAAATTATGTTGGTGGATAAGCAATGAATTTTATTGTAGCTCGTATAAAAACGTTATCAAAAATCACTTGACATGGGCCCTATGATATTCCATCCAATAATTAAGGGTAGGGTAGAAAATAACCGAATGACTAGGCAGAAACAAATTGGGGGGAGGGGGGCTTATGATATAATATGGAAATTGAAATTATATTGGTGGATAAGCAATGAATTTTATTGTAACTCTTATAAAAACGTTATCAAAAATCTCTTGACATGGGCCCTATGATATTCCATCCAATAATTTAAAATATATTCTGCGCAGTGTCTATTAATAATTTATAATTTTGGAATATCTACAATTCACCTACATATAAATATATATAAAAACTGTACAGTCGTGATGAATGTTAAATGTTTTTTAGCTGTTGATTGACTTTTCAAGCATTTTGAATAATATATAAAATATTTTTTTAATCTTCTTAACTTCGAGCAGACAATATAAGATATGTTCATATATGGTAAAGTGCGAAGATTAATTTAAAAACATGAGTAACAATAACTTGTACTTTGCACAATTAGCAAATACGTATTGTAAATTCCATATATTATTTTTATATCATATTAGAGGCCAGAGAAGACATCAATATTTGCAGTTAAGTAAAGTCCATAACATTTTTATATATAAAAATAATTGTGTATTTTAGTCATTAACACTGGTCTCAACTTGACCTAGTTTATACCAAATCAAAACTGTTAATTACTTTTAATTTTTAAAGCACGTGAAATGCTAAATGTTGGTAAAATTTAACCGTTTGATCGAAATTTGCCAACGATTATGCGATTGCGGTCTAAAATATTTAAACATTTTATTAGGACGATTAAATCGAATCCATTATTAAGCTATTGCAAAAATTTTATTTTGTATCGAACAACATTATCTCTCACACATTAAATGTCAATTAATTAAAGTTATAATATATTTATTTACATTTTAAATGAAACAAGTCTACATCATACAATTTACCTAATTTGATTTTAATTAATGCAAATTAGGGAAAAGTAGTAGGTAGTAACAATTTTGTATTTAATTTTTTGCATTTATTATTTTACTTTTAATATTAGTTTAAATTAATGTAATCATACTGTAATCATCAATGTATAGACTATTATGAATATGAATAGTTTTACTATAGGTCAGGACATGTATTGAAAAACTTACAAATAAAAATAAGTAGTAAAAGTATGGGTTTTGTGAAGCCAATCAGCGCTATTTCCTACACTGACAAAAATTATGAACTAATGTATTATTAATTAAACTAAAATTTTTGGCTTCTTGTCCTGGTTAAATTTGTTTCGCTTTTCAAAAAATTGTAGTTTCACAATAGGTTGCTTCCAATGACGATACTTTAAAAGCTGGGTGTAATACGAGTACAAAAAGTAATATAGAACAAAATATGTTGGCTAGTCCAAAACACATCGTGTACGAAAAATGAATAAAAAATTTGTTATAATTTCTAAAAGTTTTTCAAAATTAACCGTATCTCTATTACGAACATCATGCCATAAGAGAATGAAGGATTAATATTAAGGATCAGTATTAAGAATTTGATATTACTTCCAACTCTTCGCTTTAGGTTTAAAGATATCTGAAAGACTTAATTTTATTCTTATTGGTGAGGAAAATACTCAGATAGTTCCTGATTATCAGGCTAGCTAAATTCCTGTCCTTTAATTGCTCAACGTTCTGGAGTTTATTTAAAATTATGATATCAATTCCGTATGAGGAGCAAACCATATTTCGTAATATATTTCTGTTAAGAGTATTGCAAATAGGTGAGATACTATCGTGGGCTATAGTCAACAACCAAATTTATAGACTTTTCAGGTTGATTTTCTTCTATTTTATTGGGAAGAAAAATCACTGTATCTCACAGAGACACCGATTGTGCACTAGTTATTTCCGACTATTTGATTTAAAGGTTTTTCAGGTATGGTATATATCGTATTTGCGCTTACGTTAAGTTCACTAAACAAGTTCACTAAATCGAACTTAACCTAAGGTACTGTTATTTGTAGGTTATGTAGTCTCAAAATTGTATTATCTTCAAAAAAAATTGTCGTATTACAACTTCTCTAAGCGTATCTTAATCATGTCTAAACAATGTTACGGATATCCTAAATAAATTTACACTTGAGTAATTCTAGGAAAAGAATAATCAATATTTATTAATTTTTAAATTACAGACTGCACGCACTAAAAAAATGCTAAATAGTAAATTGTATAGTTTTAACAAGAGCTTATATTGCATATTTAGTTAAGGCCATTTATAATTGCCATTACAATGCTATAAGTTAAATGATTTTTAAATTGAATCAAACACAATATTAATATGAAACGTACAATTTTAATTTAATACTTAATGTTAAATAGTCGAGGTGAACACAGAAAGTGGAGAGATAATGAGAACTGTTTTTATAAAGAATTTAATTGAACGATAATTAGAAGGGGATGAAAAAAAAAGTTGTTAATTTATAAATTATTCTGTCTATCAAAAATCTCTTGTTTTAAGATTATATTATATTATTTCGGTTACAAACTGTACACACTTACAGCAATATAGGGTTTGGTAGTTTAGATTAATCTGTCTGACCGTAAGCCATTTATATGCTTATTGATTCTTAGCGATATTGTATACAGTTAAGCCTCTATGAGGATTTTCTAGTTGACAATTTTGCATATTTAGGGAGCACCAAAGCAATATTGCTTAAACAGAAGTCATAAGCATTTTATGAAAATTTTTCAAAGTATATTTTAATAGGCGAGACCCACGTGCGATTTAAGACGTACCTAGACTATGTGCGTCATAGTTTTATTATATATACATACTATCATAGTTTTATTTATAGTTCGCTAACTTAAGCGAACTTAAGGATACTATGTAAAACATTTCAAAAATAATTTGAACAAATAATAAATCAGTTAATCAATCAATTGTTTTGAAACTTTTTCACGTCATTTTCATATAGACCAATTTAATGAAACATATTTATAGATTTAATTATATATTAAAACATCGTTAAAATCGTTAGGCGTAATATTTTGTAAGCAGATTGCGAAAAAAACAACCGCTTATTTTAAGAGAGACATACGAAATACTAATATTGCTGACTAATTTTATCCATCTTCTTCGAAACCGCTTAACCAGCTTAATATGTATTTGCTAAAATTTTAAATGTATCCACTATGAATGATTTTTGCGAATACAAGTAATATTTTTGTTTATTATTTGTATTTAGTTTCTTAAGATTTTTATTTTTCCTTTATATATTTTAATACTTATATTTGCGATATAGATCCTTCTTTTAATAATTTTTTGATGAAATTTCCTAATTTCCAATAAAATTTCAAAAGAAATTCAACACACCAGAATTTTGCAAATAGATGTACTTGTCACGTATAGAAATGTATGGTCTGGTCTCATTTAGGCAGATTTATTTATTAACATCGCTAATGAGGATAATTTATCATACAAAGTGATTTCATATAAATGAGATTATTATAAATAAATTAACTCATTTAAGGTGAAGAGTGTGAATGCAACCCTTAACAATAAATTTCCCGTAAGAGAAATTAACAAAATTTTAAATGTCATATATCATGTGCTTTATATGTAAATGTAAACAAAGTTATTTCACTTGTACATATAAATCAGCACATGCCAATAAAAGCGACTTAATTACATTAACATAAGTATACTTAGCTGCAGTGGAAACTTGATATAAGACTGATAACATTTTGAGTGCTATCACCTAAAGTAATTCTTATATTATCTCTTCATTTTTTAACATGCTTACAAGAAATAGAGCCTATTATTGACATTCTAAAATTTTACATTTTTAAAACTTAGAAACCCATTTTAAGTAGGACTCATTCACTGCAATACAAATATACCAACGTTTATGTTAATTCTCCATACATTTTTCATAGACTGATTAAGGTATAGTTTTCATTTTTTTTACCAGAATTTCTATTAATGGCGCAATCGATTCGAAATACACTATATGTAGCCATAATATTAACAGAAGAGTCACAATATCAGATAACTTCTCTTCATATCAGCCGGTTTAATCTACAATTATTGCAGATTATTAAACCATTGCCTTCCTGGAACACAAATGATTATTATGATTTGACTGTCTATATAACATAACTTCATGATCGTGATCAGAAAAACTGAAAAACTGGCGTGATCATTCGTAATATATCTCTGTACCTAACTTGGTCCAATGTTTCGTACTTTTTCATAACTGACATCCGAGTCAAAAATAAATTAATATTCTTTTTTTTTATATAGCAAAATTTTATATTCAATACAAAATAATTTTTTAGAGATAATAATAAAAACATCAGTAAATCGTGAATAATAAATGAAAGTTTAATTATAAAATATCTCAACTGGATGCTGTTCATTCCAATAGAATATTATTCCGATTAATAGCTACTAATTTCAAATTAACTGCCCATCTTATTAGAATTTAGTAATAAAATTTTTTCTAAATTTGTTGTAGATACTTAATATGAAATCAATTGCCAGCAGAAAATAAATGCAAATGTTTAGCACTCAACTAATTTTTTTAATTTGTTTATTTTAAAAAGCATTGAACCCGAAAACAAAATGCATTATATGTAAAAAAAATAAAAAATTTGTTAAAAAAGCAGCTTTTCACATTTGTAAATAAGTTGAGGTTCTCTTAATTGAAACAAATGTCAACAATTAAATAAAATTTTATTTGTTTTAAAATTTTTTAATTTTGTAAAAAAAAATAAGTGCTTAAAATGACGTTGTTAAAAATTTGTTGCAAAATGAGACATATGAGATTGAATATCATATTAAAAAATTTTTATTTTTCATTTAAATCTTTTCTGAATTTGTAAAAAATAATATATTAAACAAATAAATTAGAAATTTTATTGTGTTTACTTAGAAATTTAAAACGCATTTACATGAAAATAAATACTTTCCTTTATATTTATAATTATGTAGGAATATGGAGAAATGTCTGGTCTTTGGTTCAATAATTATACAAATGTATTATTAACTACTTGTAAATAAAATATATATGCAAAATAAATTCTAAACTAATTAGATATATTAGTATTTTAACGCTGTATTACTATATACACACATATACATACACCCGAATAAATCTCTGCGTACCCTTGATATTTACATTGACGGCTCCAACCTTTAGGATAGAGTCCGAAGAGGTATATTTAAAAAAAGAACTATGTCTTTGCATCTCACTTCAACTATTTAACCATTGCAACATCTTTTAGTCAGAAGTTCCGAGCAACAACATAAATATCACAATATGCTTGAACTCATACACAGCGCATCTCACTTAACCCCAGGGCTAATGAGTTCGGCAAAGCAGGCACACTGTGCTCTTAAATTCACTGCTCAGACATCGGTATCTTACTTGCGATGGCTATGCGGGACACAACAAAATATATATATCAATAGCTAAATTGAGTGATGGAGAAAACTTAAGCTTTCTATGGAATGGACTAGGTGGGTAGGTTGGAGTGGCGGCCTTGTATCCCTAAAAAGTCCACTTGAGCTCAAAAAATGGCCCATTGTGGTACCACATTGGAATGGAATAAAGAATAATATATATTATTATTACATCAAAATATTGATTTGAAGAGATTTGCAAGAAGAAGCCCGTATTAAAAAACGAATATAAGTTTTTTAAAGAAATATAATTTTCATATAATTATCGAGAGCTATACCTTTGGTCAACGTTTTAATTCGATTTAACGAATGAGCTGAACCGAAAACTTTTCGTTAAATAAAACAAAATCCTATAGCCTAACGTATTATGCGTTATGTACTATCACACATATGTAAATAAACCTATTCATCTATAAGTTATATAGTCAAAGTATGTAGCTATATAGTCGAATAAAACCCTCGTAGACAGAAATATACTTCGGAAGCGGCTTTCAGATTATTTGAATAATTTAAAATAAAGATTTTAAGTTATTGAAAAATCACGAAGCACTTATAATGAATATATATGGTATATGTAGAAATACAGTCCTTTGAAAAGTTTCGGAGTGGGCTTTAGGCCCTCAGGTTTGCTCACTGGCTACGTGCTTTGTTGACAAGTACAATCTGGACAATGAGTATTTGTTTTTCTGGACGGAGTTATTCTAAACCTATCAATCTAATTATTTACTTCAGCAATTCTTTTAATTACTAAAAGTAATGTCAAATCAAAGTATTAGCCCAGTGTTTATTTATTATTTCAAAAGTTCACTGTAATAATTTACTTGTGTGTCTTTTTATTTAATAGTCTGGGAAGGTGCTGTTTTTATGTCAAACAGTAGTCCTATCTCCAAAATTGTTTTGTGTTCTGTACCTACATGCATATGAGGATGAACCTATTCATTTATCAGTTATTTAGTCAAAGGTAATTTATAATGATTACAGGTTTGGACATAAATCAAGGAATTGTCTTCCGTGATTCATCACACCCTCATCACTTCTATTCATGCCACCAAAAAATTGTATAGATTGAAGTATCTCTAAAGAATAGTATTTATATCACTTAAGAAGCAGTTTATATTTTCAATGTAAAAATACATTACAGGCATTACAAAATATATTAATACTTTATATTATATTATGACTAATATTATTTAATTGTATTGTTATCTCCACTAAAACTTAAAGAGCTTCAAAATAAATTTCAATTAAGTATAACTTACTTGGATTCAATGAGTAGGCCAATTTCTTAGCAAATTGTGATAATCTCACTGATAGAACAATTACTGGAAACCCAATCAATTGTACTGGTAATTCAAAAAGTGGATCGGGGTTTTGTGCAAGGCCATCCTCTACGAACTCCAGTAGCAACACCAATAAAACATACAGAGTCGGTATAAGCGAAATCGTTATAACTTGACCCAATTTCATGTTGAAATTATTGTGATATTTTTTTTATAGCGTTATGTGATGTAATAATCTCTAATGAAACTCTTATCACAGTTCACTTCTTTCACAGTAGTACCGTTTAGTTCACTTTATCTTGTTTTAAAACTCTTTTATGCACTAACTTGGATTGTTACACAACATGCAACGGTTTTATTTAAAAATGTGAAATACTTTGGACTCAGTCTCGAAATCAACTACCAACTGTGCTTGTGTCTAGGCTTTAACTGACGTCGTTTCCAACAATGAACAATCAACAAGCGCGGCTCAAAATCTCTTCAAAAAAAAAGTATTACAAAAAATACAAATATATGCGTTCACCTATATACACAGCATATATACATACATTTAAATGTTTACTAAATTACGTATATCACAAATGACAAAACATTTAAAAATGCTGCCAAAATCCAATGAAGTTGTAGACGCTGTTGGCTGTTCGCTTTTGGCAAGGCAGCGGGTTAAACCAATTGACCAATTTCTTCAATCTTTCAGTCTTTCGGTATTTCGATATTTCTTTCTTCTTTTTCACTTTTCATTGGGTGTGTATTATTTTGTTTATATTGAAACATACGCATAAACATACGAGTAGATACATATAGTATGTATGGATACATACTTTGCTTAATATCTGTAAACGTGATAATTTTGCTCACACGCGGAAGACTTCGTTCGGCTCAGACACTTCAGTGAAAGTGAGTGAACAAGTTTCTGATTTTGGTTTTACAGTTTGGTAGGCAGATCCATGCCAGACCTACCTTAAAGAAACTAAGCCAAAAGAGTTGCACGATCACCGACAAGTCGATATGGAAATTGATTTGCATTACAATGCCTCCAGCGTTTTCGACTGGTTTGGCGAATAAACTTGCTTCTTGACTTTTGTTTGATTTATTTACATTTTTTCTTCGGTGAAAAATAAAAAGTAAATATTTTTGCGCTTTTTGCTTGGCCATTAGTTAAGTTATGAAATATTTTTTTCTCCGCACGCGAGTACATAATAATGGCACATGCATAATTATACTTTTTGATGGACTTACTTTTCGTCGTTACCGACAATTTGGCATTAGAAAAAGAAAAAATTGTGTAGTACTAGCAAGTGCGCTTTACCCAAAAAAATTGTTAAGTTTGTTGTTGTAAATTCGTTTGACGTAACATCACGTCAAAATAAATAGTGTATACTTATTTTTATTTCATTGAGTCGATTTACAACAAAAAATTTAACAAAACTTGTTACTTGCAATTATAATGTTATTTGCAATTATAATTGGGAAGTATTTTACTTCAAAAAATACTCGTTTCTTGAAGAGCATTCACTAATTTATTAACGATTCGAAATGTATTTTAACCGATTGAGGCTTGAAGAGGATGCATTTGCTGATTTATTAAGGATTCGAAATGTTTTTGAGCCGTTTAAAGTTTAAAGAGTACGCAATAGGTCCCTAGATTTAAACGAATTTTAGAAATCACTGTCAAACGAAATCTAACAAATTTTTGGTTGTCAATTCCACAAAAAAAAAACTATAAAAGCTATATTCTGTGTTCTGTTATATGATACAGTACAATATAGCTAAATCTTAAACAAATATATATATACAAAATACTTGCTTACTTAATTAGCCACTACTGATGTGAGTCATTCTTGGCCGTGTCATGTAGGCTCCGCCAACCAGCCCGATCAGTAGTTTGCTGTCACCAGTAGTACTGCGCGTCTCCAAATCGTTGGTCACCTGATCCTTCCACTGAAGATGCGGACGTCTTCTACTGCATTTTCCACCTATGGGTACCGAAAGATACGAGAGTTCATTTTTACGACTATTTTTGGTAAACAAATTATGGTAATGGTGGTATGAGTTAACTATTTTATATAATTAAAATTCACTATTGTCACATGAACAGTTTTCCCAATAAAAAATCAAGATACCATTTGTACTTATTCGAGCATGGAAGAGTTTTTACACAATTGTTAATAAAGACAGCATTAGCTTTGCAATAAGTCTTTAATCTAGTGAAACTATGAAAGGTTACATGGACCTTATATCTGTCTAATTGATTAAAATGAGAAATAGATATTGTAATGCTAGTTATCTATCAATTATCAGTTATTTACAATTTTTAAAATGAAAAGAAAACTCGGTAAGCAATTTGAAGAGTTTGCACTCAGGGAATGGGAACCAAAACCACTGAGCAGTCAGAATGAACAAATAAGAAATAACACCAAATAAACCCGATCCCATTACTGCACATAGATATGGATGAACCACTATATTTCTAAAAGAAGTAATAAATTGAGCCAAAACCACTGAGCAGCCAGAATAAACAAATACGATAATAACACCAAATAAACCCGATCCCATTACTGCACATAGATATGGATGAACCACTATATTTCTAAAAGAAGTAATAAACTGAAAATTTCTTCTGATGAAAGTGCTCAAAGATAAGATGATTCGATCAGTGAGAAACAATATAGTTTATATTTTACGATCATATTATGCATTAGAATGATTCACAAACGTGAGAAACAGTTATTAAACGATGTTTATTATTTAGACCGTTTGTATGATGAAATAAAACCGAAAAGACCAAATTTACATAAGAAAATATATTATAACAGGTAGCATACTAAGTTATATATGAATGCAATCACAATACCAAAATTGATCGTATATGTTATTTGGATTTTATTCGATATTTATTTTTTTTTTGAAATTTGAAAAAAAATCATTTGGGGTATGGATTTAACAGAATTCGGACGTATTTTCTTCAAAGATGAATATTTAAAATACCCTGAAGAATTTTACTTATTTTTCAGATGATATAAAAAGGGACCATATATAAAAATAAAATTTTAAAATAAGCCAAAATGCAATAATGTACTCTCAATTACCACTAATTTATCTAATAAAGCCTTTATAAATGAAAAAATATTTAATCAATAAAAACGAAATAGCAGATTTGAGGCATTACCACAGATACGCATTTATATAAAAAAGCAACATCGACGAAGCCTAAACTTAGTGTTTTCATGCCTCTATAAACAAAAATAGTAATTAATTTTATATTAGTTGTTATTTATTTACTATTATATTGTTAGTTTCTTATAACTATAATTAAAAAATTAAAACTCAAAATTATTTCATTAAATGAAAAACAGCCCAAACTTGTTATATGTATATGTTATATGTATGTGTGTTTTATAGAGTACTATCAGGGCACTACGCTATTTCGTCAATACTTCAACGTTGGCTCATGCCGACAAGCAAACTGTGTAGCAGTTGCTATGATGCAGACAAAGTGGAATCCATCAATCACTCCTTATGTCTGTCTAAGACTTTAGACGACGGTTTTAATGACTAGGAAACCGTTTCTTCATTGAGCTGGTAGCTGTAAGGAAAGATAGTTCGTTAAATCTTTTTACTGTAAGAACCTATTATAAAACAATGATAAGTATAGGTGATAGTCACAAGGGAATTTTAAAACCATCATAATGGGTAATGGTTTAATCCAAGTGTAAATATTAATTAGTGGTGTCCTTATTTTTCAACATTTTTTTATATCTCACTCACTCAGGCTGAGTGAGTATAGTATTATTTCTATTTCTATTTATTTCTATAAATAATACTAGAAAGAAATAAGGTTGTATTAAGTTGTATCCTAAAAGCTGAAGAGGTTGAAGTTGTTAGAAAAAATTTTTTTTTAATTTAATCTAACTGAAAAAAAATCATAATTTGCGGATAATTTGGTTGATAGAAAAAAAGAAGATGATTCTTCATCTCCCAAAGGAAGACATAAAGAATGATTCTTCATCTCCCAAAGGCAGACATAAAAAATTGTTATGTTATTGATGTTCGCATCAATATGCACCTTCAAGTTAACTTATGTTATGGAAAAGTAGTCGAAGCAACTACTAACAAACAATAATCATACACTAGATACCATTGAAAGAGCACTCCATGGCACACCTGAAATATGGATCTTTACGGAGACTTGAAGGTTCCAACTATTAAAATGGTTATAAAAGAAAAAGTAATAAAGCTCTTCGAAAAAACATGCAAACACGCAAATTCAACACTAAACCAACTTAGGGTGTGGGCAACCCAATGACACTTAATTAAACGCTTAACTCGCATAAAGATCAAAATCGTCTCTGGGCATATGAGGTCCACTAACCAAGTAGAACAGAAGCTCTGATTGACATCAGCTCAACGAAAAACAAAGAAGTAAACAAAAAACTTTCGTATTGTAAGTTATATACAAACATTTTAATCTAACTGTAAAATATTATATATAATACTATATATAATATATAAAATATTATGTGTATGAGATATTTTTTAAAAATAATATTAATACTAAAATTTTCATTTTTTTATGGTCAATACTAATAATATAATATTAAACACATTACACATATGCCTTTTTATTTCAATCTAAAATTTAATAGACTAAAACTAAACAAATTAAATTAATTTTGGCCTTTGGCTATTTAATTATTTTAATAAAAACTAATTAACACATATAGTCAATATACATTGTGACCGAAAAGCTTCCGGAAATTTTAAATAAAACGCAAAATTCTTAATCTTCATCAATATTTATTTTATCTCCTTCAAAATATGCTCCATTAGAAGCGATACACAAATGCCAACGTTTCTTCCAATCATCAAAACATTTTTTATAGGCGCTTTCCGGTATGGCTTTGAGTTCCCTCTGCGAATTCTGTTTTACGTCTTCTATGGATTCAAAACGCGTTCCTCTGAGTGGTAATTTGAGGTTGGGAAACAGGAAAAAGTCACACGGTGCAAGATCAGGTGAATACGGTGGCTGTTCGATGGTATTTATTGAATGTTTGGCCTTAAAATCGTTGATAATGTTGAACAAATTGAGGTGAATCGGAACAAGCCGGGCGTTGACACGTCGCATACACAAATTGTCCACCAAAATCAAACGAGCCATCTCACGACCGATGCCTAGCTCTCGTGCTA